TTCGACATAAACTAAAATCAATAAATACATTAACCATATAATCCTCTACTGAAATGAAGTTCAGCACTGATGAGATTTTATATATTATAAGGTACATGCTTATGTATACTTGTAAAATATCTGCGTATATATACAAAGTGATAGATATATACCTAGCCACACATCTAGCTAAAAAAAATAATACACATTTTATACTTTAACACGTAAGTATGCTTGAGCATAACAACACTATAGATATGTAACTAGTTTAATACATTGTTAAATACATGGAGTAAAATATAGATAGACAGATAAAGATAGATAGATAGATAGATAGATAGATAGATAGATAGATAGATAGATAGATAGATAGATAGATAGATAGATAGATAGATAGATGGATAGATAGATAGAAAAAAATGGATATATCGCAGTTTTGTCCTGCACGATCTTCTGGCACACACACCATACACAGACAGACAGCCAGGGACACCTCAGCTCCACAATACCTGCCTAGGTGTGGGGATCCTCTGCGGCTCTAATCCTGCCTAGGTGTGGGGATCCTCTGCGGCTCTAATCCTGCCTAGGTGTGGGGATCCTCTGAGGCTCTAATCCTGCCTAAGTGGGAAGATCCTCTGAGGTTCTATATATCCTGCCTAGGGGTAGGGATGCTCTGAGGATTTCATCGGTGTAGGGATCCTTTGAGGCTCTCATCCTGCTTAGGTGTGGAGATCCTTCGAGGCTCTCATCCTGCCTAGATGTGGGGATCCTCTGAGGGTCTCATCCTAGGTGTGGGGATCCTCTGAGGTTCTCATTCTGCCTAGGTGTTGGGATCCTCCGAGGCTCTCATCCTGCCTAGGTGTGGAGATCCTCTGAGGCTCTACTCCTGCCTAGGTGAAAGGATCCTCTGAGGCTCTCATCCTGCCTAGGTGTGAGGATCCTCCGAGGCTCTCATCCTGCCTAGGTGTGAGGATCCTCCGAGGCTCTCATCCTGCCTAGGTCTAAGGATCCTCTGAGGCTCTCATCCTGACTAGGTGTGGGGATTCTCTGAGGCTCTCATCCTGCCTAGCCGGCTGTAAGTGTAACCGGATTCTATGAGGCTGCAGGTTAGATAAACATGTAGTGATGTGGAGTAAGTGAACTATTTGTACTCTGCTGTGCAGGAAGGAAAGTGTTGATTAACACAGAAGGGAAAAAGCGAAATTAGCTGATTGCATGCTCATAAGAGCAAGCTGTCATTGAACTGCTTTTAAAATAGACACAGCTGGGTGTTTATGTTGAAAAATCGCTCGTGTTTTTGCTAATACTGAAATAAGCATGATTTTGTATACCAAACATTTTCAGATCATTAAAATTTGTAATCTGTGCTGGTTTGTGACACAAAGAAAAGAAGAGATTCTTCTCCCAGTGAAATTTGCTGATATGATATTAACTCAATCAAGTTTTCACAAAATGAGCTTTGTGCTCCATAACACTGACTGCATCAGTTCATTATCCAGAATGCCAACCGTGACTGCTGTTTGTTAACATTGACTGTTTTCCCAAATCCCCCCATGTAACAAAGAGATCTGCTTCAGTCTAATCGCCAGCATTGTCTTCTGCTGAATTTTTAATGGTCAGAAAAGCATCTCGGGTCAACAGTTTGGCTACAAATCTTCTACATATATCAGTGTACATAATATGCCTTTAAGCTGCTCGGCTCAGTTTATCAGCTTAACTAGCGAGTGGCTGGCCTAAGTGTGCTAAAACTGAGCTACAAGCACATATAATATGGCACAAAACACACACACAGCTAAACACAAGTCTCTAGCTTTGTCACCTGGTGAGAGGCAAGATAAGTCGTTCCCAGGCTTGGATTCTGGATGGCACTCCTCCTTGTCTTGGGTGAATCTGGACCTCAGTCTGCCGCATGAATGCTATGTGACCAGGATTAACAGAGCCCAGCGCATACAATGGGCAACTCATCCTGCCTAGGTGTGAGGATCCTCCGAGGCTCTCATCCTGCCTAGGTCTAAGGATCCTCTGAGGCTCTCATCCTGACTAGGTGTGGGGATTCTCTGAGGCTCTCATCCTGCCTAGCCGGCTGTAAGTGTAACCGGATTCTATGAGGCTGCAGGTTAGATAAACATGTAGTGATGTGGAGTAAGTGAACTATTTGTACTCTGCTGTGCAGGAAGGAAAGTGTTGATTAACACAGAAGGGAAAAAGCGAAATTAGCTGATTGCATGCTCATAAGAGCAAGCTGTCATTGAACTGCTTTTAAAATAGACACAGCTGGGTGTTTATGTTGAAAAATCGCTCGTGTTTTTGCTAATACTGAAATAAGCATGATTTTGTATACCAAACATTTTCAGATCATTAAAATTTGTAATCTGTGCTGGTTTGTGACACAAAGAAAAGAAGAGATTCTTCTCCCAGTGAAATTTGCTGATATGATATTAACTCAATCAAGTTTTCACAAAATGAGCTTTGTGCTCCATAACACTGACTGCATCAGTTCATTATCCAGAATGCCAACCGTGACTGCTGTTTGTTAACATTGACTGTTTTCCCAAATCCCCCCATGTAACAAAGAGATCTGCTTCAGTCTAATCGCCAGCATTGTCTTCTGCTGAATTTTTAATGGTCAGAAAAGCATCTCGGGTCAACAGTTTGGCTACAAATCTTCTACATATATCAGTGTACATAATATGCCTTTAAGCTGCTCGGCTCAGTTTATCAGCTTAACTAGCGAGTGGCTGGCCTAAGTGTGCTAAAACTGAGCTACAAGCACATATAATATGGCACAAAACACACACACAGCTAAACACAAGTCTCTAGCTTTGTCACCTGGTGAGAGGCAAGATAAGTCGTTCCCAGGCTTGGATTCTGGATGGCACTCCTCCTTGTCTTGGGTGAATCTGGACCTCAGTCTGCCGCATGAATGCTATGTGACCAGGATTAACAGAGCCCAGCGCATACAATGGGCAACTCTAGCCCAGGACCACTAGCCAGCCCTTTTACTCCCTGGCTGGCAGGGGGGGCAGGAAAGGAGCCTCCTGTGTGGTGGCAGTGAAAGGGTGAATCTCCAGCA